ATACTCCCAAATAAACCCAAAGACGAACGGCATCCTGCTTAATTCTTCATATTAATGCAGATGACTTGTGTTCGTGTACAATTGTTTTAATCTCTATTCTCATCTGACAAAACCTATTATATACCCTTAAGCTTAATCCATTATAATTTAACCAGCAAATTATATTCGGTTTATTTTGCAGTGCTATTCCCTCGACATACCAACAAGGAGACGCGGGATAATACTATCAATTTAATACACATGTTCCGAGACTATTTGCATTATCACATTAAGGTTCGTATCAGATCAGAATATAAACTCTAATATATATATTAATACATTCCCACTCTATAACAGTGTTCAAAGGCGTATATTCATTCCCGCATGCGCGCAAAAACGTCAGACTTCCTTAAGGTGCTAAACCGTGCAAGGCCCGAATCGAAGACTACGGAAAAGAAGACTATAACGTGAGCTATATAACAGTTATAACAGACTGCTTTATTACAATATTAATAATACTCTTTATTTATAGGGGGAGAACATTCATACGCAAAGAATGATGCGCTCAGTATAATTAGTTGTTTTTATATAAAAATATGAAAATAAAAAAAGTGTACTAAAAAAAAAAAACAAAAAGAATTGAGAAAAACAACTGAATTTTGGCAAATGAAAGCAAATGTTTCCAAAACTAAATGGTGAAAACAAACCCAAACAGTAAACAGAAATTAAAAGAAAGTATTCCAAGAGAGCTAACTCTAAGCCGGAGCAAGTTAATGAACAATAAAACAAAATAACAATATAATAGTTATGCGTTAAATAATTTAAATTGTGTGTATTTGTCGAGTCAGTAAGTGGTACAGAATCAAGTGTGAGTTAATTTGTTACAGTCATCGCTGAAAGTCAGCGTACATACATACATTATGTATATCAAACACTAAACAATTGTCAAACAGTAACATTTTTATAACTAATTGCCTAATAAATGTAAGTGAAAGAGTCAAGTCGCAAACAAAAGCAAAAATCAATCTGTTAATGTCGCAATTGTCGTAATGCTGCCCAAAATCAGACAACCCCACTAGCCTGTATATGTAGAGAATTAAACAAGAGAAAAAAGAACAAAAATACTAAAAATAAAAACTTTGATACTTTAATAAATCCAATTTAAAATTTAAAAAAGAATAATAGAAATATTTTGTTTCAATTAAAAGCGATAAAACCGAAATGCAATAAAATTGACAAAGTAAAATGCTGGATTAGTTTTGTTATAATTGTATGGTTTATAGTAGTATATATATATAGATGAGTATAAGAGTTTTGTATAACAAATCAGATCTTAAATTTAACATTCTGCTTCTCGTTCATGCTCTCCACACTGGCCTGCAAGTTCAGATAGTCACTCTGAATACGCGCACAGACTGCAATAGAGAGTGAACAGGTCGAGAATGAATATATATCTAAATATATATATTTATAAATACTTATGCATAATACTTATGCAGTTAGAGCTACTTACATTGGCAGTGCCTTTGTTATAATAATTATTATTGCATTATAAATGTATTCCAAGGGTTTTCATGTGCTTTTGGTGAAATGTTGCATATGAGAAATTTACAGAGAGAGAGATAGAGAGGCCTAGGGATCATCATATTGCTCCAATTTGATATAAGCAAGTGCTGCGTGATAGAAAAGTGACAGAAGTGAGTGTTATTTATATAGTTCAGTTCAGTTAAGTAGACACCGAAAGCTTTTTCAATAGATATTTGTATATGGATCAAGTTAATAAGGGTTTCTATGATTATATACATATTTATCCTATCGTCTATCCTCGATAGGTATTTTTTATATTTTCTAATACTATTTTAATTTAAAAAACAATAGAAATGTATTTTATATTATGTTTTGTGAACAAAAAAAGTTATTGACTTTTTAATTGTTTATTTAATAGAGCTTTAGCTGTACGTATAATTGAAACTAGCGTGCACTATGTAGGCTTAGACAAGCTGAAGGCATCGTTTATCATATTTTACGAGTAACATACATACACACCCACATACATACACACACATGCGTAAGTCTACGAAACACAAAAAGAAGAATACTAGAAAAAACTTGAAAAAAAAAATTTATATGAAAAAGGGCTTGGCATTCGCATTCGGGTGACAATGGAATAGAAACTGGGGCAAATAATCCACAAAAATTGTTTATTTTGATGTGACTCCATATACATTTAAATATACTTATATGCACTTTATGTAAATCTTACCTTTCTGCAGATCCATATCATCCATTTCGGAGTTTTTAATCTGTTGCAATTTCTCGCGAAACTTTTTGGTAATTTGTTTGCGTTGATAATCGGCTTCGATTTCCTGTTTGGTGCGCGGTATGCGGAATCGAATGCAGCAACAGACCATGATCACTGCAAAGATACCCTGTACTTTAGCACAGACTTGCACATATGCAAGCGTGAACAGAGAAACACTCACTAATACTCATTAATATGCCCAGGACTGCGGCTATGATGTGCCATCGTCGAAAGCCGCCAATGGTAATTTTTTCCAGCCACGCTTCCTTGGGATCAATATCAAAGATATCTGTATCATCGTCCATATTCGATTTCTATTTATTTATTCGCTTGTTTCTGGAGTAGCCGCAATTTCACGTCTGGTTGCTTGGCCTGGCCAATTCGAACTGTTCATTTCATTTAGCCACACTCAATATTTCTTGGACTAAACTGGGTGCTAAAAGTATACAAACAAATGAGCGAGCCTTTGGGCTAGGACTAATCGCGACCCACCCCGTATGGAATGTGTAGGTTAGCAGTGTAGAAAAGCAAACAAATAAAGCTGATGGAAGCAGAACTTGGAAGATTCTTAAATATCCTAGAAATATTCCACTTACATATAACTGAAATTATGCAGTAACACTTGAATTTGAGATATACAGAGCACACCCTGCATATTGAAAGTGTAGCGTAAAAGTATTAAATAATAACTATAAGTAAAAGTTCTTGATTTGAAAATTAATGAGTCGATTCTAAAGTCCAATATAAATTTTACTTATTTAATTTAAGAAAAAAACGAGCTCATTTGAATACCAAGTTCAGACGTAGACCACATTTCAAGTCCATATACCCCATTAGATGTGTTGCCAATTCATACTTCATAGTACTGCTAGATATTTCTTAAACAATGTTATCCATTTTGAAGGGGACATAGGACGCCTCACCAGAACTGGGTGTGGTTGTTAAAACTAAAGCACACCGTTAGCCGCGTGCCACCACAGCAGGACAAAGTAATTTTGCATACTACTAGCTAACAGATAGCCAAGGGAGAGAGCGAGAGAGACTTTATAAGTAGCGACCGTAACCCCAACAGGAGACAACATGCATATGGTTAGTTACAAGAGGGCGCCACATGCTGGGCACACCCAGTAGACCAGCTAGTAGCTAGGAGCTACCAGCAGCTAGCAGGACTCGCCCCCAAACTAGTTTGTTAGATATTTAATTTGTTGACTTTTTGCCAGCTATGAAAACGACAATGGAGCAGAAGACCGGAGGAGAAGAGGCCCGACTGGGTGTCAGCCTAATGACTGTGGCATTTACTTTCTCTCTCTCTCACTCATCCTTTCGCTCGTTGCGTGTTTGTCGCGGGCGTTAAACATTATGTGATTGCAATTACACATATTGAATTGATAGATGACCTTTACTAATAATGAAAATAAGCTAGGCAGTGATAAAAGATAAATAAATATATACAAATATATAGTAGAATATATTTATTAAATAAATTCCAAGAGCAATGTTATTTCCATAAAAATAAATATTTAGAGAAAAAATTATTGAATTCATGTTTCATTAATTTTGTTTACATTTGCTCCACTGTGCCCTGCCCCAATGACCTAAAATAAAACAAATATGAATGCTCTATGTAAAAACGCTAACGTAACGTAACACACTTTAAACACACGACTTTACGTTGCCTTACGTAAAATCCAATGTGGCAACGCCGCAGTATTCACAATGAACACGCTGCCAGACTCGCCCAATCGTGCGCCTGTGCACAGAGCAGTGTTACCGTTAAAAACGAACGAGTTGCAGTGCACGCACACTCACACACACACACAGATTCATATATAGGCGATGCCACACACATGGCAACTTTCATTGAGGCACTCATTCAACAAAAATATATGCTTATCCTTGCCACAGCGCTGCTCAGTTTCAGTTGAGGCTCTCGTTCGGTGGCACACACGCTGGGCTCGTCGCAGGCCAATAAGAATTCAAATAAGAGTAACATACAATTCATAAAATCACAAGAGAAAGAAGAAGAAAATAACTCTATTTAATACAGTATAAAAAGTTTAAGCCGAAAAAAAAAACAGATCATTAGCAGAAACTGCAATTGCGGTAGTCGTTCCATTGTACGTATTCGTAACGGGCGTGTGTGTGCCTGTGCGTGTGTGTGCGTGCGTGAGTGTGAGTAAATGAGCATGTGTGTGTGTTGAGTACATAATAGGGCCATGGAGTTTTATTGAAAAACGAAGCAAGAAAGAAAAAACGTTATTGCCTCACATAGAGCAATATATACATATACATCCATACATATATGTATAGGCAATATCAGCAAATCTCAGAGGCCACACACACACACACTGAGAGTGGAAAAACTTTTATCGTTGGCCATGTGGGCAAAGCCAGAGCGAAAAATCAAAGAAAATTGCTTTCTGCTAAATTGTGTAAATAAAGCATATATAAAATAAAAATTAGAAAAAAAGTTTATATTTATATATATATAAATATATATATTTAGAGCCAGCAACAACAACACCCGACCTCCACAATTTCGCAAAGGTGTGGGAGCGTGTGCGAAAAAAAGAGCAGAAAAAAGGACGAAGCGAAGGCAACGCGCGCGCGCCTTCACTGTGTGAGTGTAAAATGCGTGGGTGTGTGTGAAAGGTGTAAAAAATGTACATTTTGTGAATTGGCCATATAAAAAAAAAACGAAAAGGAAAAAATACAAGAGCAGAAAGAAGAGAAAACGAGTAACGAGTGTAACCGAAACATAACAACAACAACAACTAACGTAACGAAAACGACGACAACCGTTATATTTAGCCGCCGCCGAATCCAGTTATACGACCTACTAACACCAACGCACATTACGCACAAATGTAGCCAAAGTTCTTTGCTGCTGGTAGTTGTTGCTGTTGTCCTGCTGTTATTGTTGTTGGCGAATGAAGCAATTTTGCAACTAAACAAAATGCACACAGATCTCGATTTCGGTAACAATATAAATCACAGCAAGTGCGCGTTGCCAATGCGCCGTCAGCAGCAACAGCACTTTTATCAGCACACAACTCGCCCACCCACGCAGTGAATTTAATTAAATAAACTAATAAGTATAACAAACACCAACCAAATAAACAACAGCAAAGTAAGCACCGCTTATTCTTTTCATTTTTTATTTATAAAACCACAGCAAATAGCGAACGGAAATTTTAAATGCATTTTTTGTTTTGGCCGCTCATCACAAGCGATTGCACGGTTGCGGTATATCGATAACTACGTGTTATTTATCGATCGAAACGCAGTTGAAATATAGGCTTTCTGCGCTTGGCTTCGCTTTTAACGTATATGACTATTCTGCTATCGTTTGATTTCAAATTATTGCTTTTAGATAATTGTCGATGGGCTTAAAAGAAACATATCGATAGTATCGCTGCACGTGCAAAAACTATTGGCACGCGAAACTTGGCGCACACGCATAACTAAAAACAAGTAGTAGAAGAAGCAGCAGCAGAGAGAGCGCATCTAATAGGACTGTCAGACGGACGCGCACGTACGTACGGTTTGTGTTACAGCGGCACTTTGCCTGGTCTGCTGCCCTTCGCCGTTCTCTCCATATAAAAAACAAAAGCAAACACGAATTAAATGTAATTAAGTGCATTTAAATTTGATGCTTACGTGATTTGTGTGTGTGTGCGTGTCAATACAAATACAAATACTAAGAGTGCGGTAGGCTCACATTTTCATTTCATTTCGCTTACACAAAACAACCCACAGAAAGGACAATAAATGCTGAAAATTATACAGCTAGTCTCATATGCCTGGCTTTATGTGCGCCCTTTTATTTCGTCAAGTTTAATTTAAGCAATTTCGCGTGTGCCTTTTCGCTTCTCTTTCTCTCCAGCGTGCGCTTGTGTGTGTGTGTGAGAGTGGTGGTTCTGATTGGATCTGCTGTTGTTGCCGTCATCAGTTCTAGTTGGGGCCGCATTTGTTATGTCAATAATTAACAGTAAAACTTATGGAAAAGCCAAATGGCAAAACAGGCAACAAACACTGCGTAGGGCGTGCTACACAGCTGTAAGGCTGTTTTCTAGGGCTGCAATTGACTCGTGTCGCGTCTGTCCAGGGACACCCAAGAAGTTTTTCTTCAATTCGTTTCACTTTTCTTCACTCCTTTTTTTTGTCATGTGTGTCCCCATGTGTGTGTGCCTGTGTGATATTGCGCCTCATTCTTGTGGCAATTGCATTTGGCAATCACACGGAAAATTGATTTTTTGCCAAATACGCGAACATTTTGCAGCATATTTGTATATGACTTGCGTTCCTTCATTTCTTCTTTTTGTTTTTGACCACTTTTCCGCTTGCCATTGAGTATTCCAATTGGATTGTACAGAAGCTGCCCAATTGGCACATTGTGCGTTGCGTTGTCAGATCCCTTCAGCTTGGGTACTTGTCTCCTCTTTTTGTATTACATTAAATATTTAAAGCATATGCAAATTTGAACAGTAGCACCGTAAAAAAGTACCTGCCGCGGCCTTAACGCGGTTGTTATTGTTGTAACTGCTGCTGCTTCTGCTACTCTCATCCATGACGTCGCTCTCTAACCTCCTCAATTTCTTTTTATTCCGTTTTTAGCTTTAGTGTCGTGTAAATCGTTTTGTATGGCAAGTGCTCTGCCCTTTTTATATAAATAAATTTGTTTGTGCCTTTTTTTAATACCTTTTTTGTTAATTATAGAGCATACACCCACCCGCACACATAAACACGCATGTTCACATACGGGTATATAGATATGTAAATATGTATGCAATCAGCGCTCGCTGCTCAATTCAAATGCATTTCGATTGCTTTTGCCTCTCTCTCTTTAAGAACGTCTATGTATATGTGTGTGTTTGTGTGTGTGAGTGCACTCAACTTGTGAACTACGATACTTGAACACCATTTTTCGTTGATTCCTTGTGCCTACACACCTGCATGCAGCTGTTTGTGCTTGTATGCTTGTGTGTGTGTGTTTACTCCCCACCTTAAGTCGTGAACACTGCTTCGATTTGTGCACCAGCTAACCTGCCATGCCCCTGCTCCACCTGTCGACTCCTTCGAGCTTCAGTTGTTCGACACGTGCCCAATTGTGCCGCAACAAATTTACTCCACTTTTTGACTTTTAGCTTTGCTTTTTTCTTTCTTGTACAATTGTCTATTGTGACCTGCATGCCTATGGGTGTAAGTAGGCTTGTGTGCTGCTTTGAAATCCTTACAGCTAAGAGTGACCAGACTTTAAATAGAGTCAAAATAGTAAACTAAAAAGCTAAGGCCATTTTTAAGATATACACACACACATGTATATATCACCTAAATTATTAATTTTCACCTGTATATCTATGATAGTAGTAATTAGAGATTACTTTCAATACTAATTACATTGCTTTTATTATTGCTTTTTTTTTCGCTGTGTCGATATATTTAAATATCGATATATATTCACTTTTCAAAATCTCGGGTATTTTTATTCATCTTTCCCCATCTCAGTGTGATTGTATTATTCTAATTGGAATTGGATTTGCATACTGCCTACAAACACTTGTTTTACACTTTTTCCCTCTATTTGTCACTCTTTCTCTCTTTCTTAGGCATTTGTTTTTCTCGCCATTTACATAGATTTAGCTAATGCGGTGTCTAGTTCCCATTATTGGCCCTTTGCTCAATCGATTGGCAAGGTCAACACCAGCTGCTGCTGCTGCTGATATCCATAGCCATAAACAGTAAATGTGGTTGAGAGCTTGTTGTTGTTATTCACTGGACGCAATTAAAACTTGTTGATTGTGGGCGACTTTCATATTGGCTGTGAGAGAGACATACAATAAATGTGATTTATTTGATATAGCCAAAGGTAAACTAATCACTATTATTGCCAAGCAAGAAAGAGCCTTTTATAGCTTTAGTTGTGTGTCAAGCAGACTTAAGACTCAATTTAGTACAAAGTATTAGATTTAGTTCAAGCTATGCTGCATCTCGAGCAGCAACACAAAATGTCGGAAAACTAAAAAAGTTTTTCTTTTGAACATATATATAGATATTAAAGATTAGTATTTTTAAAATGTATTCACAAAAATTAATTTTGCTTAATTTGTTTTTTCTTTCTTTGCAGAATCTGCCAAGGCGATCAAGTGGCTAAAAAAGTTTAAATAATAAATACAAGCAAAATAAATTTAATTGCATACAAAAAAAGTTGATAGAAAAGTGCTCAAAGTGAAGAGAAAAAAATAATATTAAAGAAGAAAAAAACACCCTTTTGTCGAGGGTGTGTGCGTGTGTATGTGCAAGTGTGTGTAGTTGCTCGAGTGCGTGTGCGTGAGGAGCTGTAGTCGTCGTCGTCGTTGCTCTCGTCCTCGTCCTGACTGGAGCCCCGAGCCAAAGAGTCGTCACAACGTCGTCGTCATCAAAGCCCACGACATCAGCCGCTGCTGCCGCCGCCGCCGCCGCGTCCAAGGTAAAAACACAGCGTCAAGCATCCACACAGAGTCCACCACCAGGAGGAGCAGCAGCAGCAGCAGCGGGATCAACAACAGCTGCAACAGCAACAGCACGCAGCGGCGGACGCAGCGGCCATCGGCGTCGCAGTAGCAGCAGTAATCCAAACGCCGGCAACACGAAAGCGACCAGCGGCAGCGGTGGAGCTGGCTGCGCCGGCGTCGCTGGTGGCGGTGGTGGTGGTGGTGGAGGCGGTGGTGGCGGCGGCGTTGGAGTTGCTGGAGGCGGCGGTGGCACGGCCAACATTAAGCAAAGCGTCAGTCGCAATAGCAACATACGCAGCAGCTCCTCCAACAGCACCATGGCATCGGCCAATCATCGAGGCGGACGCGCCGGCATCGCTGGCGCCGGCGCTGGCGTTGGCGATGGCAATGCGGCTGGCTTGCAGTTCGGCTCCGCCTGGTTTCAGCGCAAAATCAATCTAAGGCCGCAGCATCGCGGCGTCCATTTGGTCACCGAAGAGATACTTAGACAAATGCCGGAGCTGATGCAATTCTCTGTGGGATTATGTCACATGCAAAGTAAGTAGAGATGAT